TTTTGAATGGGAAAAAAGTCGGCATTCTACCTTACCAGGGGCCCAGACATAAATAGACAATTCGCCGTTGACACAGGGGCGTTACCGAGCATCAGACATGGCTGGGCACGATAGAACGAGCCCTCCCGTATTACTTTTGAATGGGAAAAAAGTCGGCATCAACCTTACCAGGGGCCCAGACATAAATAGACAATTCGCCGTTGACACAGGGGCGTTACCGAGCATCAGACATGGCTGGGCACGATAAAACGAGCCCTCCCGTATTACTTTTGAATGGGACAGAAGTCGTCATCAAGGCAAATTGGGTTTTTCTTCAAAGTTTCACCACCTTACCTGGTTCACAGCGACCCCACAGCAACAAAGGATAAACACCTGGTCATATTGAAGCACTGGGACACAAGGCAGCACGTTAAAGCGCATTTCTTTTAAATTTTAACCATTTTTTGGATTTTTCCTCAAAGTTTTAACACCTTACCAGGGGCAAAGCCTTCCACATGCATTAACCCAGGGACAGAGGGCTGCATTAAACCATAGGGACATAATGTCCAGAGTATAAATAATGGAGGAAGCATCTCTTAAACAGCGACTCTTTTATTTTTTTTTACAAAATTGGTACAAAAGTAGAAGAGTGTTGAAAAACACTACAATAAAAAAAATATAAAACACAGCAAATACACAGCATTCTGCATGCCTATTTACGAAAATATACAACATTTACATATAATTTACATTAAAATTATTATTTACTTAGCCTTATTTTCTGTATTTCTTCCGCAGCTGTGGGGTTTTCTTAATGATCCGTCTACGCAGTCTGTACAGCTCCATCGGAGTGGCATTCTTTGTCCTGAGGCGTGTTATCAAAGGAGTGCGTTGTATCGATGACCTGCCCTGGCTGGATGATGCGGTGACCTGGGCCGGTGTTGTGCTTCCCTGGGCCGGTTCCTCGGTGCCCTGGGCCGGTTCCTCGGTGCCCTGGGCCGGTTCCTCGGTGCCCTGGGCCGGTTCCTCGGTGCCCTGGGCCGGTGGTGGTGGTTGTGGGCTGCCCTGGGACATTGGGCTGTCCTGGCTCGATGGTTCCTCCTGGCCACGCCGGGACAGTGGGCTGAACCGGGCCGGTGTTAGTTGTGGGCTGAGCTGGGACAGTGGGCTGCCCTGGGTCGGTGGTGCCTCCTGGCCCGATTCTGGGCTGCCCTGGCCCGGTTCTGGGCTGCCCTGGCCCGGTTCTGGGCTGCCCTCGCCCGGTTCTGGGGTGGCCTGGCTCAG